CTCCTTAGTTTTGTTTTCATATCGGTTTTTTGATCAATTATTTTGAGCAATAAAATAATAGCATTTTTAGTTTACAATATTTTTTTTTAAATTGAAAGAATAAAACTATTTTTTTTTGTTTAAATATCTATCGTAATTTGATTATATTTGTAATAATAAAATAATAATTGTATTTTAAATTTTTTCTCTTTTAAATATGGTTTTCGATTTAGCTTATATGTTTTAATTACTTATTTCAAAATTATTTTTTCGGTTTTGCGTATTATATCAGTTGTATATATATACAAAGTTATATATGCAAGTATATGAATGTAAATTATATAATATTTATTAACAATTTAATATAAAATTATTGCCATGCGCATTCTGAGTTTAATGACATTTTATTTATTGTTGAATTAATTTAAAAACATTCAGCCCTATCATGAATTCCACTCGTAGAATCCTACGGATTACGAACTTTGCTACGACTAAGACTTTTGAATAATCACAAATTCATTTCGTAGAGATTATGAATCAGCAATGTTTTCAGAGTACAAAATTCAGTATTTTATTTCCACTGTCAAATGTTTATTTATGTTTTTATTGTTATTTAAGTAAACAACTTTCTTACAAAAGGATATTTTTAGGCAATATGATATTCATACTTTTCCGAATTTCAGATTTAAATTGAATTGAAACGAAATTCATGATCAGACTGAATATTTCTATATTATTATTTTGACAGTGTTTTCCACTTAGTATTTTTGATAAATAAAAAAAAAACTGTTACATAAAAAGATCTGTCAAACATACAATCCCATATTCTGGTAGTCGTATCGTATAATGTAACACCATTACAGAGGTGTTACTTTATACGATACTTTATACGATTAACAGAGGACGTTACATTTGATAGTTAAAGTGGTATCAATTTTGACGTGATACCAAATGTCAAAACTAATGCCATTTATATCTATCAGGCCACCAAGCTGAAATTATTTTCCGAAATTTTACATTCAGGAAAAAATTACAAAATCAATTTTTTTTTATTTTTTTTGTGAAATTATTGAGTATTCTGCAAGATTCTCATTTTATTTATTATAGTTTTATAATAATTATTTTTTTGCCTTTTTTTCAATTTCGTTCTTAAATTCTATTTCTTATTCAAAAATTTTACTCTGTAATTCAGTACACTTTCATTTAGAAGACAAGAAAGGTTGTCTGCGTTAAAAAATGCAATTTTTTTGTTTTTAAATGCATTTTTCATATGAAATTTACCAACCGATTTTTTAATATTTAAATTTTAAATTTAAAAAATTATGTAGAATTACTAGAGCCAAAAATATTGATCAATTTCCTTCACACAAATAAATTTCGAGAACACTTCCATTTAGACTCCAAATAAATTTGGAATTTATTTTTGATTTGCTCTCTGGGCTTGATGGCCTGGTAGATATAATATATGGGTTTAGTCAAAACCATCGCGAGTGCTATCTCTGTATAACTTTTCATTTGACGTGATAGTCATTTTTTATCATATTTGTATTCTATAAACTATCCTGTCAAGGTCTTTTAATTTAAATGTATGTAAATGAAATGAATCGGCAATATTAGTAATTCTTAAAAAATTATTTAATTAATTTTATACTAAAACTTTTACTCTATTAATTTATCAATAAATGATTGCAGTTTTTTTATTTTACAGAGTATAAAGAATAAGTAATACGAAGAAATTTGAGCTTCTAGTAAATTAACAGAAGTTGTTTTCAAATTTTTAAGTAAAATCTTGAAACCTTTTTTTAAATTCTCTAGAATTCCAGAAACTTTAAACAAAAAATTTACGGTTTATTCTAATATTTCAATATATTCAATGCTGTTATTATTCCAATGGATTTGAACTGTTTCGAATGTGCAGTTTTATGAATTTACAAAATTACTGTAAAACAAGTAAAAGCGTTTCAGTCAGTTTTAACCAACTGAATTATACCCTGCACCTTGACAATTTAAGCACATAAAATTGTTTTTCAAATATTTAGAATAAGCTTTCATAGTTTGATGGAGCTTAGTCGAACCTGTCAAACCATTCCACGAATATGTCTGACGAAAACTTCACGAATATGTCTGACCTATAATTGGACACATGACCGTCAAATCTCAGTCAAATCTCATGAACCTAACTTTATTATTTTTTCGAATATTTGGAGTTGTCGCAGGAAAATAGTGTCGTAGCTCACCGAACCCGTTTCCCGAATTTGTCCAATTACAAAAGGGTCCATCCTCGGCACAAAACAAAAAACTTGTGAAAGTTTGATGGTATTTTCTTTATTCGTTTTTAAGTTATCGTGCGATTGGACGGACAAGTGGGCAGACGGACGGAGGAACGAACTTACAAATATATCTAAATCAAGCAAAATTTTACGCTGAGCACGAATATATACATATACATGGTCATACCGCAGATGACTCCCTCAAATGGTTAAAAACTACGTACCAAAGTTAACATACCTTTCACGAAGGTGCAGGGTTAAAAAAATTTTTTTTTTGTTAGCATGTTTCTCAATATGACTGAGCGACCAACAAAATATGGTTTAATATGTATCAAATTACTATCTCCGTTTATTATAACCTCAATAATATATTGCCTTGAGATATCTGTTTGCTTTAATTGGTAAAGCAAGCTTTGCTCACAATGTAAGAGCATAAAAGAAAGGAAATGCATTTTTATTGTACAAAAAGTGCGTATTTCTTGTGGATAAAATCCATTATTATCATGTTAAAAATGATACCCAGTTTATCATTATTTTTAAGTTTCAACTGTGTATTTTCAACTTTTGGAAATAGTTAAATAATTAATAAATTATTTTATCATCTTCACAAACAAATTTTGTACACATTTTGGAAAAAAATCAGATACGCTAATTGAAACAATTCTTTTAATTTGAAAATTACATTACAAAATATCATTTTCTTCTTATTCTGCAAGTTAAAAAGCCGACGTACACTATTAACTATAGCTTTTAATAAAGCCGATAATAGTCAATTTAATTGAATTTTGCATGTCGTACTTCCAATATTATAGAGATTTTGTACAATTTTGAGTCATGTCACTCTGTTATTTTTTTTTTATTATTTGTATAAGAATGTGAAAAACATTATGAAGACAATTTTTTTTAGTTTATAATTGTAATGTGTTGTATTGTTCCTTTTGTGGTGCAATAAACAATTTCTCAATATAATCAAAAAATTTTCCATAATTATTTTTTTTCATACATGTTTATATGTAGATGCATTTAAAGAATAATATTTTTGATAAATTGAAGCGAAAATGGCGATTTTTTTTTTTTTTTTTTGAAATTAGTGCAAATGCTTTTTATTTTTTTATTTTGCGTTTTTGCGTTTTGATATTTTATAAAGAAAATCTCTTACTAAATTGGCTATTTGTTTACTTTTATTTTTCATTGTAAAAATTATTTATTTTTTTTATATGTAAGATATTTATTTATTAGCTTATGTTTCTTTTAAAGAACTCAAATTTAATATAATCTATTTAAAAATATGCATTTAAAATATTCGACAAAAAAAAAAAATTATATAAAAATTAATTATTAAAACGAAGACATGGCATTCAGCCAATTTTATTGTTCTCAGATATTATAATTTCATGATATAAGGAAAGAAAATTGAATTTCATTTTTATTTCTTTTTTATTTGTTTTTGCGTGTTTTCAAATATATTCGAAAGAAACTGATGCAATATAGGAGAACCTGAATGAAACTCTGTGAAAATAAGGAAAAACAACTTAAATAATAAGTTGGATTAAGCCAATGATTTGTAAAGAAGTCCTTTTCCCTAAAACAGTTGAATGTATGTACTGCTTTTAACAGTCTACTTACTACATTATTTAATTTACTTTTAATCATATACCATAATATATCAATCTATTGCAAAGATTTAGGATGAGCAAAAAACAAAAAAAAAAATTGTTAACATAATTGGCGAATTCGGCGGTTGAGTTGAAGCAAATAATTATATTTTTCGTTGGCATGTCATTAACCTTTTTAATAGAAATTTCACTTTTAGTTCGCCTTTATATAGAAACTTGGAAAAGCTTGTATTTTCGGAAATATAAGGTGTCGAAAATTTTACTTTTACAAATTTCAAGAAGCGATAACTTGTAAGGGAATGGTGGTGGAAAAATGTCTTCCAACAAATTAAATTATTCATTATTGTCTCAAATATATTAAATTTAACGCTGCTACAAGTTGCTGTCTAGGAGAAAAACGATACCAAAAGATTTTATAAAGAATATGGTTTAGATAACGGTTAACTTTAATGACCGTTTTGTCATTTTGATGTTCATTTGCACTGTGTTACGGTAGAAGAAGCATATTTTAATAAAAATAGAGAAGAAAATTTTTAAACAAATTTTAAAGCCTTAAGTACATTGTTTTTCCTTATTTTCACAGAATTAAGGTAATCGCATTTTAAAGAAGAAATGCAATTAAATTTTTTTTACAAGAATCAGTTTTAATTAGTTCAATTTAAGGAAAAAATACAAAGCCTATGGGAAAGATAGTTTTAAAGGGGGAAGGCATCCGTAGAGTATGCGTGGAGAGAGAGGCTGACGGAGACGGCAATAAAATCTTATCATGATTCTATTATGGTCGAAGTGTACTCTTGCCCGAATGCTGAAGATCTGCAATCTGTGATTTGCCCCTTTTTTATTATAGTAAAATTTTCATAAAAAATAACGTCCTAACTACAATTCACCTCAACTTTCTACACCAGGATTTAGTTCAAGTGTTACTTACTGTTAAAAAAAATGCCCACGATATTAATCCTATAGTAGATGGTTTTAGGTACTATGAATTAAAATAATTTTTAATTTTTTTTTCTTTAATATGAAATTTAAAAATCAGGGAACAATAGAAAATTTAAAAAAAAATCAATCAATTTTAAAGATAGAAAATATTTGGGAAATTTTTGTTTTGTTTTTTGTTTTTTTATACTAAAAAAAGGATGGTAAGGATATTGTTGTCAGCAAAGAAGAAATAACAAAAACTGCTGAAGATGGATCAACAACAACAACAATTGTTGTAAAAAAAAAAGTTTTAATTAAAAATCCTCCTGAAACTAAATCTGAAGAGAATGTTGATGAAACTGTTACAAAGAAAGTTGAAATAAACGACGATGAAAATGAAGAAATTGAAGAGGAGATTATTGAATATGTTGAAGGTGATGATGATGAAAATGGTAATGTTGAAACTGTTGTAGAAACAGTTGTTGTTTCAAAAAAAACATCATCATCGTCACCATCTGATGGTAATAATAATGAAAATAATAAAAATGATAGCGAAGCATCATCAACGACAACAACAAAAACTATAACGAAAAAAATAATTATACCAAAAAGTGAAAGTATTGAATCTGAAAAAGAATCACCACGAACATCAACATTAATTGAAAGTGATGAAGATGAAAAGAAAATAACTGAAAGCCCTCAAAAAGAAAAGGTGTTCTTTCTTACAAAAATACATACACATACATTATACACATATTCATATTCATATGTCCATATTCATTCATAAGATGTGCATATACATATATTAATAAATATACATATTAAGTAAATCAGATCACTTAACTACGTATCTGTTAAGGCTTTTTATATGAACCAAGTTTTCGCAGAACATGTACATTTGCACATATGTATATAAATACACACACATATTCATATATAAAAATATTATATAAATAATATGATTTTCAAAAAGAATTAGTACGGTGTTAATACACAATTCAGCAATTCACATATATAAATTGAATTGTGTATATATACTGTATAACTGCATTTTGGAAATCAAGCATATTACAAGATCTGTTAGTGATGGAATCGCAAATAAAATGAGTTTTAAGACAGCTTTTTTTGCTGTGGTAAACTGAAATTCTATTGAAAAAAGAAAATATTGCCACCTTTTCGGCTTCCTGTTTCGGCTTGTTTCTCTAAAATACACCAAATCCCTAATTTGGATATTGACGTTTTCAAAATGCTCCTTTTTTATTACAACTAACTATTTCCGAACTTGTTTTTTCTCTTGTTTTCTTCATTTCATATGTATACACATTTAAATATAAAATCTTGAAGAGAGAATCGCATAACAGTGTATTTAGTTTTAAAAACATTATCTTCTTAATATTCACGCATTCTAATATAAAGTGAACAAATCAAATTTTATTAAGAAAAATTACAAAACAACAATAAACCGACATCTAAAATCTTTAACTAACAAGCCACGCAACAAGTTGGAACAAAATTAGGAAACTAAAAAAGAGAAAGATGAGAGTGGAAATTCACAGCTCCTCTCCTGTGAACACAAAGAAAGAGAGAAAAGGAGAGAAAAACTCCTTTTTGGAAAAGCACTGTGAAAAGGAAAGTAAAGATAAATCTTTCTACTTCTTGAATAGTGTAAATTGAAAAAATGGAAAAACACGGCAGTACAAAGTCGTGTTAATCAAATTGTTTCATATTAAACTTAATACATATTATATTGTATGTCAATGACCACTTACCGTTTCCAAACAAATTACCCCTTTTGCAGATTTTACTGTATGTGGGAAGGTCTATATTTGAATATATAATATAAATAATATTCCTCGAATGTACATGAAATGCCCGTATTATTTTATATATACATATATATGTATGTATATATACATAAAACCAATATTACCAAAAAATTAACTCATAAAATTTAAATTAGCAAAAGTTGATATATGTATTATTAAACATTATTCAGGCAAAATTACGTTTCGTCAATCACAGCGTACATGTGATCTAATTACATTATTCGGTCTATCTTTTTTGATTCATTTCTTCAAAAACAACAATATTGTTTTTAGTACTTCCGTTGTATAGAATAATTATTGTAAAAAATTACTTATGAATTTGCTATTATTTGCTATTATTATAATTGTCTTTTCAAGGTAATAAATTTTGGGTTCGGTAAATTGTTTTTTTTAATTATTTTATTAATTTAAGTAAAATATAATATAATGTAATATTATAATCTATTTAATTAATTTATTTTCTTTTATAATTTTAGAACTTTGTTTTGTCCAAAGCGTAAATTTTTAATTGTATTTTGTTTCTGCGATTTGTGTAAATTTGTAAATAATTTTTTTTATAATTAATTTATATTTATATATATATTTTTTTTGAATTTCTAGTTTTTGAATTTGATTTGATTTGATTTTAAAGTTGAAAGTAGTTAAAATGCAGTAAAAAAACTGTCCTTTTTTCTTTTTTTTCCTTTGAATTTATTTGTAATAAATAAAAATACATAAAATTAATATTTTAAAATTAAAAATAAAAGTATTGACGAATTCAATAAAAATAAAAAAATAGAAATAATCCTTATTGTTATTGTTCATCCCAATTTGTACATACATATTTCCAAAAAAAAAAAATATCTTATATAGTACTAGCAAATTATTAAATTGAAAATTTAATTTAACTTTCAAAATACTTGTTAACATAAACATAAGCAATTCAAAAAATTCAAAATATTTATTTTTAAAATACTTTAAATCCGTGATGGCACATGTTATTAGAGAATGTTGTACAAATACAATATCATAATCAGAAAATCACAATTATACACTATAATATAGAAATGGCGATCTCTTAGGAACTAAAAATAATAAATTGTAGAAAATAGCATACCAAATTTGTTTGATTTAAGAATTGTCTAATATTGTAATTCTTTATAATGTTTTATCAAAATTATTATTTAATTCATTATTTTAAAACCATTTTTATATTCATTCGAAAGAATATTTTAAGAGCTATAAATTTATCTCCCAGTTTGTATTTTGTGATGATAAGAAATAGACGTCTGAGTTATAGACACAAGGGTATGTTTTTGATAAGTGTCGAATTTTGCAAATTTTAATTGTCAGTTCGTCTCAGCGCAAGCTCAAAAACTTGAAAAGCTAGACTAGCTTAATTTTCACCAAATACTAACAGCTATTACGGCATGAACTGTATTTATAGTAGTATTAATTATTTCTAAAGTAAACAACATTAAAATTTCGCGTCAATGAAATAATATTAAAATTACTCCATTAAAATTTGATTATTGTTATATAAGTTAAATTAAAAACATATAAAAAATTTTGAGCAGTTTGACCTATTTACATTATTTAAATTTTGTTGCCATAAACAAGTGTAAAATCACTTTTTCAAAAAAATTTAGTATATTAGTTTTATAAGTTATTGTAACAGTTGCCATACAAATGCAAAAAGTTTGTTTTAAACCCTACTAGTTTAGTTATAAAACCATTCTAAAAAATGTTTATAGTGATATTTTTTGTTAAGACTAGCATATAGCTTTTTAAAAACTTTTGTAGGGGCATCACGGAGTTAAAATTTTATAAAAATTTTTAAATTTATAATCGCAATATATTTACCTATATATTATGGAAAGTTGAATTAAATTTTGAAATTTTATTTTTTGTTCTTATACAATTTTTTAAATCAATTTTATTAAACATTTATTTTGTGTTGTTTTTTATTTAATTATTTTAATGAAAAAATTTAGGTGGAAGAAAAACCAGAAAAAGCTTTAAAGGAGGAAAAGAGTGAACCGACTTCAAAAGAAGCTAGTGAAGCTCCTAAAACAATTTCAAAGGAAATAATCAAAGAAGAACCAGAAGAAGAAGAAAAACAAGAGGCAGAAGTTGAGCAAAAAACAACAAAACAATCTTCTCAAGCTGTTAAAGAAGAAGAAGAAGTAGAGGAAGTTGAAGAAGTAGTAGAAGAAGAGGAAGAAGAGGAGGAAGAGGAAGAAGAAGTTGAAGAAGAATCTATTAAAAAATCAACTGAAAATAAAGTACCATCATCTAAACCAGTTGATGGCATAGAAGATAAAATAGAAGCAAGTGAAAAAGTTTCTATTACAAAACCACCATTACCAAAACAACAATCATCTGAACAAATGCAACAACAACAACAAACAACAAAGGTAGGAACAGAAAATTGTGTTGAACAAAATAGCTTGCTTAGCTTAGCATCTAACAGTTGTACATCATCTGATGATATAAAGCAGAATATTAAAAATCAATTAAAGGATATTATATCAGATATTGATCGTATTATTAAACAGGATGAAGATATACCACCACCAACCTCATTGTCATCTTCAGGTAGACAATTAGAACCGCAACAACAGCCACAACAACGTCAGGTATCAAATTTGACAACACGTGAAGAAACTCAAGAAGATGGTTATATTAAAAAAAGTGAAACAATTGAAAGAAATGAAATACAAGTAAGTTTTCCAAAATTTTTCTTTTTAATAAAATCAATTTTTTTTTTTTATATATTATGTATATGGAGAATAATAATTTGTTTATTAAAAATTTCCATACAAAAAAAAAAACAAATAATTAAGTAAAATTTTTGATGTATATAATGAAAATAATATGTATATATATATATATATATGTACTATATAAATATATATATATATATATATATATATATATATATATTTGAAATTAGATGAAGAGACTCGAAACAAAAATATTTTAACTTATAATTGGAAATATTTCTATATCTTTTGGAGATATATGAATATTTCTATGAAAAGCAAAACAAAATTTTAAAGAAAAGAGAAAAATTATCTTTATATTTTTTTAAACTAAAAATCACGCTTTGAATTAAAGGACGTTTTCGATAATTCTGATAAAGTTCTAACTTAAAACTCAAAAATCTTTTTTTGCTTCATTCCAGAGGAGTTATACAAATCTTTTTAGATTTAAAATTTTTCAAATTGATATTTTTCAAATATAAAATACTTTTGCAGAATTTGAAAAAAAAAAATTTTTAAATTTTTAAGAATTTTAAGCATGCTACGATTTTCGGTTCATCTTGCAGTAAAGATTTATCAAACATGCTACATTTGAAGATTTTGTAGTTTTGATTCATCAAACATATATACCTACATATGTATATATGAGATCTAAGTTAGAACTCATTATTTTCATAAAGAGTTAAATTTAAAATATCATCAAAAGTTAATTTTTTTGCATTTATTATTCGAATAATTAATAAATAATTAAAAATTTTTAAAAAACTTATAGTCTAAAAATATCTTTTGATAGGGAAATTTTAAAGTTTTTTATAATTTCTTTTTATATTTTAGTTTTCTTTGCGCAGTAAAAATTTTTTTATTCATTTGAAACTATTTAGTATATATGCAATTTTTATATTTTAACATATTTAAAATTTTAAAACATTTAATTAAAACATTTTATTAAAACATTTTATTATTAAAGCAAATATATTTTTCGGAAAAATTTTTCTCTTTTTTTTTGTTTTTTACAGGGTGTGTCGCATAAGATGGAAAATAATTTCAGGCATGATTTTTTGATCAATTTCCAGCAAAAAATTGTATGAGTGAGGGGTGATAGTATGTCGCATAGTTCCGAAGTTATACTTATTTATTTATATGCAGGAAAAATCTGCTACCTTTTTTTCAACAGGCTGTAGCTCGAAAAAGATTATATCTATAACCCCAGCCCCATACATTTTTTTTTGGAAATTGATCAAAGAATCATCCCTGAAATTATTTGGCACCTGATGTGAAACACCCTGCATGCAATATAAAGTATAATTACAGTATTTGTTAAAATTAATAATAAATTCTTAAAATACATTGTACAGAGAGTTATTTTGAGAATTTTTTAAAATCACTAAATCGGGTTAAACTATTCAATTAAACTTTAATTCAATTTTAAATATAAAATTTAAATAATGATAAAGTGTTTAACGTACGCAAATAAATTTATTTTTTAAAAAATTACTAAAAAATTAGAATTATATTAATTAATTCTTTAAATTGTTGGATAATACTGTAATTATAACATCTCATGTAGATAAATTAATTTATTATACTCGTATAAAAACTCACAGAATTTTTTTCATATAATAGAGCTTTGATCTTTATACTTTTTAACTGCCCATACTACTATCAAAGATAATGTAAGCAAGAAAATTAAAACTCATATACAGATGCTTTTTTCAAAAAATTTTATGAAAAAACTTGTACTCCGGTCCTGATAATGTGTTCTACATTATTAGGATATAGAAGATAAAAAACTGTATATGTGTTTATATAGTTCGTTTATGTTATATTTGCTATTATTATTTTTTTTGATTTTCAAAAATTCAATCTTTTTTTTTAATATTAAAATATTTAAACATTTTGTATATAAGCACATGCATGTCTAAGTATAATGTCTACATAAATTGTAAATAATATTTACATTTAATTAAATATACATTTTATTTTTTAAAAATGATGTAAATAAAAGTATTTTAAATGTTAATTTTTAGGTTAAATGTAAGATAAATAGTTATGTTGGGAATTTTATATTAATTAGAAACAGCTATGTATGTGAAGAAAAGAAAAATAAAATATTAATCACTCACATTCTGAATCTCATATGGTCAGGGTATCACTGCAAAAACCTAGCTTAGCAAAAGTGTTGCACAAGATTATCAAAATTTCTTTTAAACAGTTACTTTCAATTTGAAGGACTCTAGTAAGCTATTAATTAAATACCTACAAAGAATGTAAATTTGACTCTTAGTGGACATTAATTTTATGGCATTTGAATTCCTTGAAAAGTTCGCCAGTTAGTTTCGATAACAAACAAAACTCAAACATTAAATTTCAAGAAATTCCGTTCATTGTTTTAGCATTCTAAATTCAAATATTGAATTTTATGGTACTTTGTTTTCTATTTCTCTTTATATGCGAAAAAGTATACATTTGACTCATAGAAAAAGTACAGTTGCTAATATCTGATTTTTCCTAAAAGTTAGGGGGTTTCTCTGACTCTCAAAAAGTTGATAAATCCGTAACATATATAGCCAAAATAAACTCTTATATAAAACCTCTTCAAAATTCGTTCAGCGGAACTTGAAATTCACATGTCTTCACAGAGTTAAAATAGTTTATTTACGCTTTCCTACCATGGAGAAGTGCGATTCCATTGATAAACTTGACATGAGAAGCAAATAGAATATTGTTTGTAACGCTAAATAAGAGATTCTAACGCATTTGAAATATTAAGAACAAATATATGAAACATAGATTGTCAACATAAAAAACAATTTTTTGGTTAAAATAGAAATGCGGGCGAATTCCCTGTTTTAAATTTTTCTAGAATGGTTTATTGCCAAAAGAAAATTTCCTTCTTAGCCAAAAAATTTTGTATTGTCGTGGCAGATTAGAAGGAAAATTCTTTTATTCTGAAAGAAATGTTTGTTTTAATTTAAATTTTCATGCAAAAACAATATAGTTTCATTTCGCTGTATAATTTCGTTCATATTTTATTACATTATTCTTTTAAGGAATCTTAAACGTCCCACTTTAAATTTCACTTAATTTACTAAAATAACTGATTGTCAAATCCAAGCAATGTATAAATTATTTTTGCAGTAAATGCGTAAATAGGAAACCTCCAATTAGAGAGAAACTGAAATATAATATTCCATTGCTAGTCTCCTTATTTAATAAGTCTACATTGTGCTCAATAGAATAGATATTTCTATCGTTTTAGTAACGCAATTTTCAGAACGTGAGTGAATAATAATATTTTAAATTAATTAAATATTTTTTATTCAAATGAATTAAATATCAAATCAATTATTAATCTTTTTCTTTTTTTGAAAATGAACTCCTCGATAATGTGGTCAACCAAGGATTTCAATAATTAAATAAAATTTAAAAAATTATTATCCTTTCAATATAAATTTTTGTTTCTTTTATTTTTTAAAAAGGTAAAGCCAAACAAATGCAAACATATTTGCGCATGTACCAACCCGGCTTTTTGTTTCTATAGTCAGGTGTGCATTTTATATAAAAAAAAACCAATTGTATTGATTTTCTATTGTATATTGTTAATTTAATTAAATTTTTTTTTCTACTTTTTGCTGTAAATAATTATGTTTTGTTTTATTTTCAAGAATTAATATTAGTAATTCATTAAATTATATATGTATGTAAACTGAGAGCGTAATATTATATAATTACATTTTATAAAGATTTAATAGGTACTAATCACGCTTATAAAGAACTAAGTGACTTACTCCATGATATCATGTAACAACCGAATACACGTCTACTTGGCGTAAATATAAAAAATATATAAAATTTGTTAGAAAACAAGAGCACATGATTTTCTTAAAACATATTAAGAAAAACGAAAACATAATTTCTTTTAATCTTCAAATGAAAATTCAAATGAAAATTAAAGGAAATTACATTTTCATTTGAAGTCGTTCTTTTAAGTAAGACTATTTTAATTTAGTACGTTATTATAAAAATTGTAATGAAATTTGTTAAAATTAGTTAAAATGCAATAATTTAAAAATAATTTAATCAAAGAGTAAATTCTTTTAAATAAAATAAAACATAAACTTATATTTTCTGCCACAAATTCTTATATGTACATAATATTGTTAGCCAAAAAAGGCATTTAAAAAGGGAGCATATTTAAGAGTTTTTCTTAGTTTTTTAAGATACAAATCAATGTTTTAAATATAAATTTGTAATTAAGGCACGCAATTTTTAGTTTTACAATTGTTTAATTGCTTATTTGTATTCCATAGGTTTATATTCAAGCGCACACACATGCAATTGTATGATCGTACTCAGTTAAGCAATCAAACAGTTTGTAATTTTTTAACAATCTGATTGAAATTTTTAATTAACGCAATCGATTTGGATTGACGCAATAGTTTAGTTGCTTTGATGTGCACGTAACGATTGTAAAATCAAGTAATAATTGCAAAACTAAAAATTGCATGTCTGTCTGACTCAAGCAGACTTAAATTAAGATTTAAACCTATTAGGGTTTAACTGCAATTCAGATAGCCGGTTAACTTGCATCCCTTGAAATTTTAAAATTTTTTAAATTAGTAAAAAAAAACTTTTACTAATTAACTTTTAGAATCTATGATAAGCTCCATGTTTTACTTTAAAACTGTATTACAATATATAAGAATGGGTGGTGCCATGTTATTATATTATTCAATAATTAGTTTTATCACGTTATATTATCTGATCCACATTTACATGTGTATAAGTATGTATAATTTTTACATTTATATAACAAAACACAAATATATCACAGATAAAAATGTAAAATTATTTTAAAGCAACATTTAAATTGTTACATACATATACAATGGGATAATAATATTACTTTAATTGTATATAGTAAAGAAATTAGTTTAGCAGTAGCATTTTAATCCTCATATTTCATTATCATAGAAAATTGAATCTTTAATATTATAGCAAACAGTCGAATTTCTATTTTTAATATATACAGAGAACCATTTAAACAAAAATGCTAATGCCAACAAAATTTTTTGTTGCTATATAAATAAATATGTTAGTTTTACTTAAGTATATATTAAATTATTAATTTTATGTGAATTTCAATTATTAAATATGTAATTTACTTATTTATATGTGTGATAATAGAACGTTCTTATATTTGCAAATATTTATATTTACAGCCTGATCGTGTATCTCGCTTTTTTACTCATTTTTTATTCATTTTCAAATCAGAATTATAAGTATTTTAATTGATGTTTTACTTTTCCAATAAGATTACTCATTTTTTTAATTAGCTTTTTGCATTTTTTCTCAAATTATCGACTGAATGCTTCACTTTCAAAAAGAAAGTGAAAAACTTTTGTATACAATTAAAAAAAAACGAGATACGCAATCGGAATAATTTCGAAATTTAACTTCTCACTCCAAAGTTACATTATACAAGTATAATTACTTACTTTCTTCTCACTTTCTTAATTACATCTAATATACATCTAGCTATTTAAGTTCCAATTATAAATGTTTACTGAAATTACATAATATGCATTGCATAATACGTAGAATATGGATAATTCTATTTAAACAAAATAAAAGGTTCACTTAACAATTGTATTTTAATTTTCACTAATTTAAAAATATTTCCCTAATTTAAAATGTAATTTATTTCTAAGTTGTCAAAATTTTAGTGCTGATTATAACGTAACTTATCTTATTTATTTTATTATGTTGTGTTAGTGTATATAATGTTTATGTTATTTTTTGTTTTACTATTTCCTCTTGTCAAAAATTCTTTTAAAAATTTATATTTTATAAAATAAAGGAAATATTTTAATGTTACTTTCCTTAAATTTCTGTTCTGTTTTCTCTGTTAAACCTATTAGAAAAGTAATTACAATAAAAGACGAATTTTATATTCAACAAAACTCTGCTAAAAGTAAACATTTATAATAGGAGTTTAAATCTATCAATTTATTGTTTTTAAATTTTAATATTTAATCCTTTATTGTTAAATTGGTGTTATTGTTATATAAGTATATGTGCATTGTATCGATAACAGCTAAAGCTTTACAGTTATTTTAAATGGTAATTAATTTTACACAAATATATCGATAGCAAAAATTAATTTTTACCTGATATATTGATTTTGATATTAAAGTAGATCCGAACACTAGTTCATATTACGTGAATTAAAAAGAAAATTAAATCAAATAAAAATCATGTAAAAGAAAAAAAACTTCCAGTTATAAAATTTTTTTTTCTTTTACTCTTTTTTCAACAAAAATCTTTCATAAATTCTTTCCATTAAAATTGTTTAAGGTTTTTTTTTTCGTAAATTCATTTTTAAAGTTTAAGCTACTTTTTGCCAATTTTTTTTATCGATATGTCGCTTATATTTTGCGCTTTTTTTATACTTACAAAAATTTTGTTTAAGCTTCTGTTTAATAGTATTTAAAGTTTTATTTAAAGTTTTTTTTAGAAATGATAATATTTATTTATATAATTATAAAATAAAAAATATTTTATGATTTACAAGTGAGTAAATAAGTTGGAGGAGCAATGATGAAGTATAGGTGTTTTGTAATACTTTAATTAAAAAATTACCTTTATGATCATTTACTTGTAAATTAACCAGAAATTTTTTTATTCAGAAATTAGAATTCTTTCGTTGAATAAATCAAATTAATTTAGATCTGCTGCTTTAAAGTAGATATCGTATTATAAGGAAGATAAGTTTATTATAATAATGTCTTTTTTCATACAAACATTTTCCGACAAAAAAATATATTTCTATAATAATTATTACAAAAGTTATTTTTTCCAACCTTTCAAAATTTTTCCTACAATTTTTGAAGTTTTAAATTTCAAAATAAAAATTGAAAAATTTCCATTTTTCCTATAAATTATGAATTTTTTAATTTAAATTCAAATAAATAATTCCATTATATATAGTACCTTTATGTGATACGTGTAGTGCTTTACCGTTATATTTCGATTTTGATCTTGTAAAATCTAATTCAATATTTCATAAGAAATATAAATTATTGTATTACAGTACATTACAATGTTATAATACAAAATTTTATTGTTTAATTGTTATACTGCAATATATTTGACTACCGAATCAGTTCAGTGTATTAAGCAATATTTGCAATAAGGATTTATGTTAAATTAAAAACAAATTAATTTTTAACAAAATACCTGGTTGTTAACTTGCATATACATATGCATAATACATTTTATTTCGATCCATCTTCTTCACTGTTCATTTATATAGGTCTTCCTCCATTTATTTGACGACAATATATTTAATAAATATTAACATTTAATTTTTGAATGAAGAAGTTTTGAGTCTCATTTTTTATGTTTTTTTTTTTTAATTTAATTAAATTAAATTTAATTTTATTATTCATGATAATAAAATATTTTTTTGATATAAATATTATTTATTATACCATATATGTGTACATGGTAAAACTTGAATTATAAAATATTTATTTTTATTAATAATTTAATAATATAATTTAATTTTTTTTAATAATTATTTATTATTTTATTTCATATATAATTTAATTGTTGACCGTTTGACACATTAAAACAAAAACCAAAATCCAAACGCAAAAAAAAAAAAATTTTTTTTTTAATTTTGTAACACAAAAAAAATGATTCGGAAATGAAAAAAAAATATTAAAGGATCATGGTGACGGAAGAACTGAAGTTCGTAGCACCGAAACGAAAACAATCATTCAATCGACTAATCCTCCATACTATAACAATTTACCCTATCAACAACAACTACAACATCAACAACGTCAACAACATATTCCTTACTTAAATGATTCTGATTTAAAAGGACATCGTTCAATGTCATTACCTTCACATAATCAATTTGTATCCGAGGTATTTAAATATTATAACTTTTCATTTTTATATTATTTATACTTCATTTTAAAAAATTTTATATTTATAACAAATTAATTTTATTATTATAATTTATAGATCTGTAATATAAATAGAAAAAAAAATATTTAATAAGTAATAAAAGTTTACTTAAGTTGAGTTTCCTTTTATTTTGTATTAAAATATTTAAGTACCAAATTTTCAATTAATTAAAGAATATACATATGTACATATAAACATTCCATTTTGTTCAATTTTGCAACAAAAAAAAAACAATAAGTAGCTAATCATAGCTCATTTCATTCAAAAACTTTGTTTACTCCAGTTTTTATTTTATTTACCTTCATAAATGATTATGCCAATAATTTAATTGAAAATTAATCAATTATTTTAGAAATATAAATTTCAACTAAAATAATGAACACGTGCACAGACAATGATCCCATCAATATTAATTTAAAAATTATTTTTAAATGTCATTCGGGGTCAGCAATTTAAATTAGTCACTGTTGACGTTTTTTTTCTTTTTTTCCTTTTGCTTGTGTTCTGTTTTCACAATTAACTTGTGTTTATATTGTTTTTTGTTGTTTTTTTTTTCTTTTAAAAACAATAAATGTTTTTACTTTATTATTTCATTTTTCAATTATTTATTATTATAATTTATAATCTCATAATTAGGATTATTACTTTATATCAATAAATATAAAAATTTTCAAAATCGGATTTTTCTAAAATTTTAATTATAATTGTTTTTAAGACAAATTTTAATTATAAAAAAAAGCTATAAAAGTCTTATTGAAGATTTATTATTGAAGTAGAAGTGTTAAGTATAGGTAATTTATAATTAAATTATAATTCTTTCAAAAAAATTCCTTTAGTTGAAGTTAAGTTGAATAAAAAGTACATTGTTTAGTTATAACTTTTATACTATAATTCACTAATGAATTTAATTTAATTCTCGTTTTGTTTTTTCAATAACTTAATTTTGACTTCAACTCGTTTATTTATTTAAATTATTTTGATGCTATTACAGATCTAAATATTGTATATATATATATATATATATATATATATATATATATATTTATGTATATATATATATGTGTATGTGTATATATGATTGATTCATTAATAATTATAATGCAAATGGAACGTTCAGAAAAAAAATTAAATTAATAAATTATGTATATATTGTATATGTATTAATGTTAAAATTAAATTACAAAGCCCAACATTCTGTTAGTTGCCTACATCAAATCTCTGCTGCCTCAAGCATAAAAATTTTAAAATTGCAGCATCTGTAGCAAATATGAAATTTATAAGGGGGTCAGCTCAAAAAATATGTTGTAAAATTTGTTAAATCCCTTTGAACTTTCTATGCACTATAAGAAATAATCCTATTCGCTTTTTTTTATTTTTAAGATTTACAAAAAATAACTTAAGATTGTGCATTTAGTAACTCGTTTTAATTACAATACTTGAAAATAAAAACCACAGCATTTACTTCAAACATACATATGTATGTATATAAAATATATCTATTATTGAGTACATTTTTATAGTTAAAAAAAAACTTAGCATTATAGTATTTTGTAAATTACTATCAGTACGCATAAAAAATAACAGAATAGCGCATGGCACGGGCTTTTGACACTGCTTGTCACCATGACACAATTATGTCTATGACTAGAAGAATAGCAAAATATCATCCGTTATTTTCATACTGTATACATCTAACAGAATGTTGGTTAAAATATATCATAAGCAGTATTCCATATTGCAAAACAAAAAAACGTTTTCTGAATTGTATAAAATGCACTTTTGAAACCAAAGAAAAAAAAAATATATATTTATAAAATTTTAGGTTTTTTTTGTAAACTTGCTACGAAAAGCTTTTATCAGCCAGCTTTAGTTTATAAATAAAATAACATAGCTTTTTTGGTTAGAATTTTTGGGTTAGAAAACTTTGATGTAGAAAACCGGTAACAAATTTTTGAGATTTTGGTGTAGAAAATCCGCATAGGTTGTAAATTTTAAGAAGAGTGACAAATATAGTTACGATTTCTCATTTATAATGTCAATCAAAAAATCAGAATTTTCAGCCCCAAATTGTAAATTAATTGTAATTACTGTTAATTGTGTCAAGTGTTCGATTTGAGTACAGTTTAAAGACGATAATAATTTTTTTTTTGACAATACGGAATACTACGATATTTTTTATTTTTTTTTAGAAAGAAAGTAGTAAAAAAGTTTTATTAAAATAAAATTGAAAAAGAAATGTTATTTGAAAGGTTTTAGAAAAAAAAATAAAACAATATAAAATTTTTTTTGCTTTTCTTAATTATTTAAAATATTAAACGCTTAAAAAACACAATTTCATTCACATAAAATCATTCATAATAAAATTATCATTTATATAAAAATCAATTAATAATAATTCAGAAATTTATTTAATATAGAATATAAACGAGAACAACTTTTAAGAACAAAAATGAAAATCCAACAAATAACTGAAAATTGCATTCAATTGATTGTACTCATTTTACTTCAAATAATCAATTTTCAACTGGTATTCATTTAAGAATTATTAAAGAAAAAAAAATTAAAAAAACTTTAAACAGATTTGCCACCGTTTCAAATTTTAAAGTTCGTAATATTTTTAAATAAAATATTTTTTCTAAAATAGAAAAAATATTTAGAGACTACTTTTAATTAAATAAATGTGGGCCAAACCAATGGTTTGTAAGGAAGCACTTCTCCGATACGTCGATATCTCGTTTTTTGAAGTCTAGCACGAGTGCTCATAGTTACAACTAGCATTTTTTTGGCACTTACAGAATCGAATCCTAATTCATATACACAGACGCTTCTAAAATTACGGAGGGGGCAGCTTACGCTGTATTTGATGAACAAAAATTGTTAATTAGGAAAAATATGGCACCAAATGTTGAGATTTACAATGCGGAAATCACTGCCTTGTACGAGGCACTTCTGCACTATAATGGGCTCGATCACGAATCAATAAAAATACTCTCAGATAGTCTTTCCACTCTGAATGCAATGAGAAATTTAAGAAGTAGACAACCAATCATTCGGGCGTTTCGTAATATTATTGTTTCTTGCACTAAAAGAATTAGAATAGTAAGGATACCGGGTCATTGCAATATAAGTGGGAATGTTTTTGCGGATAGGGAGGCCAGATCTGCTATAGGGAGTCCTAGCTTCAATAGATTTATTTATTTTCGAGCAACTAAGGCAAAAGAAATTACATAGATATCAAAAGGCAGGAGAGGTGGTGTACCGCTGTTAGCTTTCTTAGATGCCATTGGCCGCGCTATGCTCCTCAGGTATACAAGATAGGTAACAGGTTTATAGAAACCTCGCAGATTGCGTCTAGGTCATACGCTGTTATCATACGCACGAAGAAATATCTATTTGATAATACTAGTGCGCCGACTTGTTCCTTTTGTGGCAATACTTTAAATGTTAAACATATATTTATGGAATGCTCTGTTACTAGGGATTATTTGGAGTCCTGCTCCAAAGATTTCTATGAAATTTTGCTTCCAATAACTGAAAAAATCAATTTTATTAAGAGTATTTGTGACCTTTTTAATATATGAAATTTAATTTAATTAATCCTGATACGAAGTATATAAAGGTCATAAATTAGTTTATTTAATATATGTATATACCAAATTTATATAAATTTATTGCATACATTTAGGATTATCAAAAAAAGAAAAATTGGAAGAAGCTTTAAAACAATGGTTGAATTAGACGGCTAAGTTAGTGTGTTTAAAAAAAAGTAAATTTGGAAATGCTTGCGGTTTCAGAAATATAAAGCGCCGAAAATTCAAATTTTACAAATTTTGTGGAGCGATAACTAAAGAGGGGATCGAGTTAGTAAAAAATTTCTAACAAAATTAACTGCTTAGTATCTAAATATTTTAGACTCTTACAACTTTTCTGAAAATTAATAGAATAATAATAGTTAGATAGAATATTTTAATAGTTTAAAAGTTTACAGAATATAATAATAATTAGAAGAAAAGATACAAAAGATATAATAATAATTAGAAGATTAGAAGAAAAGATATAATAATAATTAGAAGAAAAAAACAAAATACGATTTTAGATAACGGTTAATATTGCTTTTTCAAAGGTCAACAAAACTATGCCGCAGTAAAAAAATCTCACTACTACATTTTTGCGTTTGTCGAATTTAAAAAATGTTTATATGGTGTCATTAAAATGCCATATTTAGGACTTTAAGGGGCTATAACTATTAGAAGGGGGATATAGCCAAAAATTTTCTTCTACGGAAATATATATAAATATATTTATATTTATTTATAAAACTTCATCAGCTTTTTATCTTCAAAGGTGTAGAAGTTTTGTGAACAAATACATGAACAGACGAATGGATGTACACAGACATGGAAAGGCACAGCGAAACTAATAAGCACTTTTTTCAAAATTTTTTTTGAAAAAGTGTAATTAACATTATATTTCACTAGAACAAAAAACGTTTTTTTCCCCATGTTATACACAATTATAAATTGCCACCTTTCTTCGCCTTATCCACAATCTTTTGTAATTTTTTATTGAAATATGCTAAGAAAAGCAGAAATTAAGATGGTCGTTTAAATAGGAAATAAACTTAAATTCTAAAGGAAATTTTGGAAAATTAAATTCTAAAAGAATTTTGTATTACTTACTTTTTTTTTGAAAAAAATACAACTAATCAAAATAATGATAAACGAAATGAAATTATATGAACATAAACTAATTATGCGGTTATATTGTTTAATTTGGCAACACTGAACTTTTTCCAATATGAATCCAGAGTTACCTATTATAAAATATGTAGTGCGAATGAGTACAATCAAAACTAAATACAATTTTCTGTTTTTGGTTTTTCATTTATCGAAAAAAAAAATTATATTACAAAATGTATGAATGAAATACAATTTTAAATTTACATTTTTCAGCATTTG